AAGAGCAAGGTCCTGCAGCTGGGCTTGGTCGCAAGAGTAGCCCAGTGTTGCCAGGATTGGAGTGGTTATGGAAGAATCAAGGTAGTTGGCAGCTGAGTAGGGACTCTGAAGATTTCAATTTTGCTCTTTAAAAAGTATGGATGATTCAAAACCTAGAAAAGAATAAATACCCTCAAGATATCTTTCAAGTACATTAAGGGTGACACCATTCTTTTTCATACACTTCCCTCTCAAAACTTTCCCAACAACTGTCACAAAATAAATTCAATAGTTTATTACTATTTAGCTCTTAATTATTAGGAAGGAGCAAAGTTCCTCTGGCTCATATCACTTATCAACAGATGCCCACTACTCCATGTTGAGGGAAGTCTTAATGTGAACAGTCATTAAAAGGGGAAAATCTATCAAATTTTTTTTTTTCTTTTCCTTGTCATTCTGTCAATACAGGAGGAATTGTTACATTTATTATCATGCACTGTGAAAGATTCAAATTATTCCAAACATACCCTCAAGGCTTCCTTTTCTGGTTTTATAATTTTTTATATAATGAAACTTCTTAAACTTATTTGCATGGATTTTAGCCATCCAGAAAGTTATGATCACACATAACCTTCAAAAACAGGGTAAAAAAAAATCTGTTGAAATTCTGAATATTGATTCTACTTTTATTTGCAGCCGGGCTCAATTCAAGAGAAGATGAGAAGCTGTTTGCTTCAGCATAAATTATAAAAAACACAGTTAACTTTAGTGTTGAGGAATCTCTCTCTTTCTCAAAGACCTATTACTTTGTGAACTACATTGTACGTAGCTCTGTTTAACGCTAATAACATTGCCTACAAGGCCTTGACTAGAAAATTTATGTTCTACAGAAGAAACATCATTGACTGATCACATCTGTGACTTCACATCTTTTGCTGTATCTTTGAAAATTTTGTGCCTAGCTGCTGATGCAACAGTATAATATTATATATATATTTAATATTATATTGTACTCTTTACTTGTCAGGAACATGAGCTTCAAGAGATAAGAGGATTTATAAAACGTAGGTTCACCACAAAATCAGTGCACCAGAACTTGCTTGAGAGGAAAATGGATGTTTTTCTGGAGAGCTGGCTCATATTCCCTGATAAGCAACCAAAGTGAATATTGCTCACCAGAGGTAACAGAAATGAAAGGGGACAAGTGAGCAGTAGTTCACTTTGGTAATCATTAAAAGTTCAGATTATGTAGGGTACATGATGGGTGGAATTCCATTATTAGTTTTAGATGTCAATTTATATTCTAGGTATCTAAAGCTGGTTTGGCCTAGTATTATTTAGCACTAGAAGTATCAGTTTGCAAGGAAGAATGCCTAGGCAGAGAAGGAAGAAGGTAGCAAGATAATTTGTCAGCTTCATCAAAGGACAGAATATTAAAAGTAGAATCAAGCTCTTATTCTAGATAGTAACTTTAACCAAACTTAGTAAACCAGTTCTTGGGTGAAAAAAACAGCTCTTGGTTTAAGCGTGTGAGTGGGAAATGCATTTTCCTAGTGAGGAAGCACATCTCCAAAAGAGTTACGTGGGAAAGCTTACCCCCTGACAAGCCCTGAGTGAGATGACTTCCACCAACAAGCTGCCTGAGCTTATGACGGAGCGGCCTACTGCAAGTTAGGTACCATCCTGGCTGTTAACTTTCAAGTTGAATTAGAAATAGAAGTGGAATTCCATAAATAATAATAAAAAAATGGCTTAGTCCAGAAGAAAGAATCTCCCTCCTCCTAGCAAAACTGGACAGTGAGGACTTACACTTCCCGGCAACAGGCCGATACGTGGCTTGAAGGTATCCTTTTAACAAATACAACACACTACAAAAAAGAATGGCCTGTGTTGCTTATATTATTGCCTGATTATTTCCAGATATTACTTAAAAGATCTGCAACCTTTTTGAAATACTCTTGGATCTTAGCTTGTCTTTGTGCTATGTAAGAAGGGTAAACAAGAGGACCTACATTCAGAGTTCACAGTCTAGTACTGATTCTGTGTAGGATGTGTCTTAACACATTACAACTTAATAGTGTAGTTGAAATCAATTAAATTCTTGTCCATCATATCACTAAGCCATGGAACTATTGCAAGTTTGGTAAACAGCACAGGGGATTACAGTGAAATATATGATTCAGCATTACAACATATTTTAAATGGTTATCATGCGAAGCCAATATAGCACACAGGACACTGTAATAGCAGTAATTAGAAATAAACTGACTGAAAGAATTGTTTTCTTAACTTAAAATTATTTATGAAATAGCAATAAACACTAAACAGGTTTCCAACAGCCAGCTACAAAACTCGAGAGAAAACGCTTCTTATTTTTAGCAGCATCTATGCAGAACTCTTTTCCTGCCTCATTGCTGTTCAACTGTGAATGCTGTGAATGAACACAGAAGCCTTCCAACTGCTGATGGTGGCTTACTATTTACAAAGTTTATTTATAAACTCATTTTCATGCAAGTATAAAATACTAATTCCTTGGACAAATACACATTTATTCACCACTAAATTATATACATTGTATTTGCATCTAATATTCAGAGAAGTGCAAAGTCCACAGTGACGTTAATAACAGTTTTGTAAACTATTAGCTGATAAGCTCTCAAAAGATATTAGTAACCATACAATAACATTTTTTTGTATACTGCTGAAATAAAACATTTTTGCAGTAAATGAACATACATTTCAGCTACATTCAAGTGATTATTTTATTACCATATATTATGTCTTACAAACTTTACTGGAGATGAGCAAGAACTCTACAAAACCACACCTTAACGCAAGAGGTGTATTGCATGGTATGTGCAGGCATAGCAAAGGAGAGCTAAGAGCTGGAAAGAAAAAACAAGCTAAGAAAACTTGTACAAAAATTGGTAGTTAATACTGACTAACACTGGGTTATAATCTTACTTGTAATAGACCTGAAGGGCTAACAGAGATCCAATTCAGAAACATCTGTGCACTGTAGGGACAGTTTGGTGCAGATCAAGAGTGCACTAATACAGTCAAAGTTGTATGCATGAGATAATGCACAAAATACACTGATATGCATATAAACAACTAATTTGTTTACAGTAAGTAGGGCAGCACAGTTGTAGCACTGCATCCTTGGCACTTAAGTGATAGGACAACATGTATTTGGTTTAACTAAATTCATAAACAGGATATATACTGGTTTGTGAGATGTAAAACATACATTATCCCTTTGAACCTTCCAGTTGTACAGCATTTTTCATAATTTTCAAGTTCAAATGCACACATGATACACTAGCTAGATATGGAAGACGTTTCAGATATTGGCTTAAAACAAGACCTTCAATTGAAAAAAGACAGAATCACTAATTCCAATTATATTCATTAGATCTGTAACTCATGTCTTGTGCTGAAAACAAAATCTGAAACATTTAGTAACAACAAAAAAAAAGGCGCAACCTTGTAATAAAACCCACAATGTCTTTATGGGCTTTTCCTGAATAGTAATCGCTTCCTTTATATCCCTTTCATATATGGCAATTTCACTTCAAAGAACTGCTGAAGTTATCTGAAAAAATCATCTGAGAAGTTGTAATTGGATTAGAAGTTTGGCCTAGCCTATTGTATCACACAGAATGGAAGAAAATACGCTCTGCTTTAAAGAAAGTATGTTTTACCTACAAATGGATTCCAAATTTAAGGGACTGTCCTTGTATTAAAGAATATTAACAACTGTCTGGAGGAAGCCAATTTACTTTTGCCTGTTTTAAACAAACCGGATAAATTGCCACTTTATATATAACAAATGTACTAAAATTGTTCTTAACATACTATGATGTAACACTTTATAATTAAATGGTTTAAAATATTTTACAAAGACATTTTATTATATATGAACTATACAACACACAAGAGTATGAAATATTTTGAACATATACACATTTCTGTATTTTTCATGTAGATTATTATTTTGTACCAAACATTGGTGTCTGCAGTTCTAACAATCCTCCCAGATAAAAACAAAACAAAAACCCTGAATGTTTTTATGGATGAGGTTTTTTTTTTCCTGAAAATAAAACCTGTTACAAAGACAATTTTTTCTTTTCCCAATTTCCTATTTCGCACAAAGCTTTTCAAATAGATCGACATACACAAAAAGGAATAACCTCTTTGTACTTTGCAGTGCAATTTGGTAGGGATAAAGTTGAAACCAAAACTGACCCCTTCCCCACTACAAATATTGAAATCTGCAGTCAAAGTAAATGTCAATACCAATCACTATTGAGATTCCTTTCCCCTTTATTTAAAATGCAATGCTTTTCAATAGCCATTTTAATGAAAATATTTGCATAGAGCAGCCTTGTATTATTTCTAAAGAACATTATGAGCATTTTAACACAAGATAAGGCACATGTTTTTCAGCATTAATAATCTAAAACTAATCCTGAGGATCTGCTCCTCCCCTCATCAAAATCTGCTTTTTTAATATACCCTGTATTACCTGAAAAAAGCAGAAAAGCAGTACAGAATAAACCCAAACTCTTCAGCTTAACTAAATTCAGAACATTAATAACGCCTGATAATGGTGTAACAAATCCACAGATAAACAAATTATTCTTTAAACAAATTATCATTGGGGGGAGGTGGGGGGATGGATACAGACAGTAGCACTGTAGATGTCAGGTAAAAGTTTACATAATATGGATGACATTTATAGTGAATTTTGATAAAATAAGCTCCCATCAGAAACAAGGTAGCTAAATTGTGAGGCACTTAAGGTTGACAAGAAAAGGAGGAATGCAAGGGGTCTGTTTCATAGAAAACCTGAAGTTGCATATCATATCCTTGTATTAAGCCTTCTATTAAAGTGCTAGAAATGGAAACTTAAACCAAAAATATTTAAATATAAAATAAGTGATTAAAGAGCTTGCTATGCATTAAAATTAAGTGCTTTTAATTCTCATGAATTCAGAGGTTTTTACTAGGTTTTAAAAATAAATTCTGGAAATAATCCACATGTGAAATCATCTTCCTTGTGCCATTGATGCTATTTGTAAAGTGCCCCATTATTTCCTAAACAACAAAACCATTTGCCTTATCTTATGTTGTATAACGTGACATAGTCTGTAGTACGTTTGAAATCCATACTGCAACAACACAGTCAATCTGACACAAAACAGTACATGTATACTTTTAGTCAGAAGTTTTAATTCCACCTGTCACCCTCAAAAGCCAGGTCTTGGATTACATATCCACCAGTATATAGTGCAACCAACCTCATACTCTCAAAACACAGTTTAGCTGTTCAAGTCCAATGCTCAGAGATAGATTTATCAAGCTCTTCCTCAGCACAGCCTGACGCCCAGACAAAATCACAGATGGAGCTCTGGATCCGAATCACATAAATCCACTAGATGCCAAATCTGAGAAGGATCTGGGTTCTGTTGGATGATGAAGAGGCTGAAGATGTGTGGCAGTCTGTGCATTACTGATCACATCTAACTGAGAGGGGTATGCTTCATTTACATTTCCTCCATTGAAACTGTTTTGGAACTGGCAGGGGGGGAAAAAAAAAAAAAAAAAAAAAAAGGTGATTATGGGAAACCAGTTTATTTACAAGTTTTTAAAAAGCCTTCTAAAAACACAGATTGGATGAAACCACCGTAAACCACAATGAATATCTGTAAAACTTCTTTTTACAAAAAAAAAAATAAAAAATTATGAATGATAAGAAGTTAATTGGCATTTAAGTAGGGTCTAAATCATCTGTGAAACTTACCCACGTTGAAGTCAGTGGGAGTAAAGAAACATCGCTGTTATCTAAAGCATAACACAGTTCCCATTTGTAGAAAGTACATTCTGACTGAGTACTCCTAATTTCCACATCCAGCTGTTACATTTTAAAAGCAACCTATTTACAAGTTTTAACGTTCGCAATGGGATCCAGACTTCACAGCTCTTACAGGAATGTACATGCAGTCCTATTAGTAAGCTGAAGTGTACTGCATCCAATCCACAAGCTGAGCTGTCACAGGGTGAGCGTTTTTGACAAATGGTCTTCATATTGACAATGCCAAGTAGGAGCAATGAATGGCTTTCATCAGTCCTGACATAATTGTTCATAGGATTATTTTAATCATTTGATATAATGCTTCCTGTCATACTATGGAAAAGCCACTTTATCTACAAAATACTCCATTCAGTCATGCAAAGAAAATACAACAAAGTATTTTAAACATTTCCACCATCTCTTTGTGAGTAGCTTATATTGTAAGTACTCATTCATTCAAGAGTTGTCCTCAAAAATGTATTACACTTTCATTCATTCATCTATCAAAATATGCTGGGTTTTGAAACCTTTTTTTTTCCTTCTGTGCAAACATTGAAACTTGACTGCATACAGTTCTCAACATGACTATAGCCATGTGAATTATGTTTTTAATCAAAGTTGCCATACTTTCAAAGACAGCTACAATAACATAAGCCAGGATTACTTCTGACAGAAGCAGATTATTTCCATGCTCTTCATTAACAAGATGAGTACACTTGTTAAAATTTCCAAAAGAGTTCTCAACACCAAATCTAGTACTTAACAAGGTTTCTCCTGATTAATAAGGAATATCAACCTTAAACAAGCAATGAAATTATCTAAATCCTTCCTGCCCTTCTCTGTCACTAAAAGTGTTTTGAGACTACATTGGCTATGATCCTACTGCAGTTACAAGTTATTCAGAAGGTCAAGGCAGATGACCAGCACAGACCCTTCCGGCTTTTCACACAGAAATCAATGGGAGTTAGAAGGCTGAGGACAGGACAGCAACCATGGCTGGCACAGAGACGTAGGTCCTGCCTCCAGACTCCAACAGCTGATAGGGATGTCAGTGTGCTAAATCCAGCCACAAAGACTGCCCTACTTTGGTTTGGCTGCGTGAATGCAGGCTCAGACAGTAGTATCCTATCTGCTTAATCGCATCCTTACTCAAGTTAGCAATTAGTCATAAAATCAAGCCTTAAGTTTATTATCATATCAGTGATACAGTCTCCCTATTTACAATAAATAAGTGTATATCATTTGCCATCGTGGCTTGGGCAGAGATGAGATTTTACAAGATCAACTGCAGAAGCTATAACTTCAAACTTACTAGTTTCTGTGGGTTCGTGTATTTTAAAGTTCTTAATTCTTCTGATATCAGACTAAATACAATCTCTCTGTAACATAAGCATATATAAACATAGGCTTATCTTTCCCTGGAGCAATAACATTTCTAGGTAAAAAAAATGTTACTATATTAAAACATTTCTCAACATAACTTTGATTTACACAGAGCCTTACTTTGCCCTCAATCTATAAAAATGTTAATTGGCAGATGTAACTACAGGTCAAAACAGTACAGTCTAATACAACAGAATTTTTTTTTTTCCCATGTAATGTGTATATAGCAGTATGGGCTGCAAAAGTCAATGCTATTTGGTCTAGGAATAAGCTGTCTCTTCCCACCCCCCACTGCACTCCAGCTGGCTACCTACGATCACTTTTACAAAAGGGGTTGGGGGAATTATCCTTCCTTATCTCAAGAAGTGTGCTCCTCTTTTAAGCTTATTTGGACAAATGTTCAGCAGTTCTCTTCAGAAGTAAACAGGAGCTAACGTGCAAAAGAGTAAAATTAGGTCTTCACCAGGCTTCTGCGTATGCAATGCTATCCAGATACACACAGCACAGGCACACCACAGCAAGGAGGGCTGAATTTGCCTCTGAACAACTTAAGCAAGGGCAACCTCTCATTTTTATGACAAAAAAGCTAAACCAAAAATTTTTTCAGCACAGAATTCTAGCAGACATGAAGTAATGGAAGGATTCATTTATTGCATTCAGAGATGTAGTCTTAGTCAATCTTTTTACAGATAGATAGGAGTGAAAAGTAAGCAAGACTGTAACAAAGGGTCTGTAACAAACATAATTAAGGCAGCAAACCAACAAAATAATCTACAAAACAGCCATTAAAAAGAAATAGAATTGCTTATACACTGGTTGTTCAAAACTGATGCACCACTCCAGTGTAGCTTTTATGAAAAGAACAATTATATACTATTATAGGGACGAACTTGGATGACCCTGGAACTGCTCTGCAACTCCATTATCAAGCACTCTGAAGGAATAACACTGGCCACAGCCAGGCAACATACAGCCAAGCGCTGTGGAAGCTTCCACACTGTAGTTTGCCAAAGTCACTTTGAACTATTTCATCCCTTGGGCACTCGGGCAGAAGCTCTTCATCCTGCTAAACTGTCCCACATCTTAGATAAATTTCTGCAATTTTATAATGATATTTTTTCCCCCACTAGTGAAGCAGTTTTTAAAATGGTGTGTTTTGTACTTGTATGAAGCATACCAAAAAGCTGTGTATATTCCATTTGCATTCCTCACCTCTGCCTTATGTTGGTTAAATGCCAATTAATACTTTAATTCTGTAAATGCTTATGCATGTGCAAAGCATCAGTACTTTCGAACATTAACTCATTGAGGGAAAAAATGCAGCTCTGTACTTAGCAGCATTAACAGAAATAAACGGTACAATTTAAAGTACTTCAACAAAGGTTATTCAGAATCAGAAACCGCCTTGGTAATTGAATTTTTCTACTTCTAAGTTAATTTTACCTATGAAAAACCGTGCTTAAAACTAGTCTGTGCTACAACCAGGCTCCTCTCGTCTATGGCTTTTATTGTGCATTCTCCTTTGCACCATGTGAGAAAGGTCCAACTTATCTACTGTGAATATAATTTTTTCCTGCTCTTTTGTTTCAGCAGACAATTAGGCAGCAGCTTGAGGAACAAGATGATTTTCACTTACAGCAATATATAAAAATATTTTTGCAGTATCATTGTCTGTAAAAATGCAATAGTTCATAATATTTCATGCTATTTATGTGATATTATGATACTTTAAGCAATTCTAACATCAAAGAATCTGAGGAGGTAGGGAACACTAGCATTTTAAAAAACAAGTTTTTTCTCGATCCTTGAACATATTTCACAAAAATGAATGTGCCAGACAATATGACTGACATCATTCCACTCTAAGAAAGTTATACAAGCAAATTCCAAGCTTTTGACTGATCTGCTTCTCCTTCACTCCTACTGGGATAATTACTGGTAGGTACAACACACTAGTTCACTCACTCTCACTTTAATACTGCCAAAGAGAGCTACCAGGCTGGGGATGTGTGTAAGTAAACACTTGACTAAATGCAACTCTCTTCAATGTAATGGACAAATAAAGCAAGGACAGTCACACACCGCTAAGCCACAGGTGTCAAACTTGGTAATTTGATTATGGCAAGCTCTGCATCCTGGTAGCCAGCTAAAAGAAATCAAAATTCAAAATGCAAGCAAAGTAGCAACACATGCTGTTTACCTTACCTTGTTCGACAATGTTTGTTGACTTGACATCACAGGATCATATTGCATTTGATCCACACAGCTGGGTTGGGCTTCCTGTGTGCACTGGTACATAGAAACAGCACCTGCATAACATGTCTGAGGAGTTACCATAACTGACTCTGAGCTTGTCCCACACTCATGATTTTCAGGGACTTGCTGCAAACAACTCAGAAAATCCTCCAAGTTGGAAGAAGCAGAATAGGTTGACCTGTCAAAACCTGCTACAGGGAAATCCATTTGAGCAAAATTAGAGAGCTGTGGCATCATTGCTGTGGGCTGCTTGTAAGGAATAAACTCTTGCCTACATGCATAAGGGGAAGAGTTTACTTCTGATTTGTAAGAGAACTCAGATGCAGTGGCATGCATGCCAGGGAATACATATTGCTGAGGCAGCTGCTGCGAGCAGCTAAGAGGCATGCTGGTGTCAGAGCTCCAATCTGTGAACATCCCATTCACTTGCATATGTCTCATCTTTTGACAGAGCTGCTGTTGCTGTTGCTGCTGCTCCATGAGCTGTTTCTGGTGCTGATGGAGCTGATGTGGATCTAACTCTTGCTGTACCAAGCAACCTTCATGCTGGACCAGGGGCTGCTGCTGGTTACAGCCTGAATATAAGAAGTCAGACTTATTTAAGGAATCCTGAACGTAAGTCAGAATTTCATCAGTTATGTCGATGTCCCCAATATCATCCATACCAGATAATTCAGTTTTAAAAAACTCCTCATCCTGCCGAATACACTTTAGATCTTCAAAGTCAATACCCAGGTTTTTCATGATGCTGTACAAATCACTGGTTTTGTTATCTTGAAAGAGTGCTGCACTGTCTTCAGGAAGAGGAACAGTACTGTCCTGGGAACACTCCATTAGCTCCCTTTTGAGAACGTTGTGATTTCCAGCAGGTAGGAGATTATCTGTCCAGCTGCTGCCAAGAACATCACCCAGTTCATCCCTGCTGTCTGCAAAGAAGTTCCGCTCAAAGGAAAGTTTATGTGATGCTGGGGGACAGAGATACACAGACTCATCTTGCCTTAACATGGCACCTAGGAGAGAGTTTGGATCCACTGAATCATTGGGTAGCGTTGCTTTGGCTCCTTTTCCTGTCGTGCTTTTATTCTTCAGCTGGGAGGGATCCATAAGGCTTGACATCGGGAAAGATACCTCATATAAGACAGCTTCACCAGTGGCAAACATGAAGGGCAACTTCATATTACGTTTCCGTAGGTGTTCTGCTCCTTCTTCATCTCTGAAAACAGACCACACATATAGCATAGTACTGCAGTACTGAACAGTTTCTGTAATCTTTTTAAAAAATTAATTCCAAGGGACAAAATGAACTATTCTACTTGCAGGCATTTTTCAAATTCCTACCTATTCCAGCTCAGCTTGGCCAAGTTAAGCCAAGAGGCAGATCATGAAGTAAAGCACTGACTGTACTACCACCTTAACAGTACATTTGTAATTAATCTGGAGAGCACACACCATTTTCTGCACATTACGAGCTGAAAGGAATACAAGCAAGCCTTGTTCCATTTGTTATGTTTTTCTTGGCAGAGCAAGTAAATGAATACTTCAAAACTGAAATATGTGCTTTATGCAAGGATGACTTACGTGAGAGGTCTCTGTGTGGCAATGATGTAATCTGGTCTTCCATTTTTGTAGACAAGTCGTGCATTTGCCTGTACCCAGGCCCATCGGTTTTCTTTGGTTAGAAGCCTAAATACAGTCATTCCACTCTCACCTGTCTTCATCACTAGAGTTAAAGAATAAGCACACCGTTTACTGTCCAGTGAACAAAACCATGAAAAACTGGCATGTCATGAAAGTAATCCCATTCGTAGAGCAATTTTTACAAATTTCATGTCCTCAATCACTCATTTCTGTGTGGCACTAATGTATTCCTAGTGAAACAGGATGATGGATCACTTTAAGATATCTACTTTAATTTACTGGTACAATAAAAGCCAAAACTGTAAGTGGCTGTAAGATACCCACTACAGATTTGCAATATCCTATACAGAACTTCATCCATTATTTCTGCAATAACAGAAATTTATACATACCAAAAGACTAAATCTCTCTTACATCTGAAAAGTGACTATTACTTAAGAAAGAAAACATATTAGCTATGAATCCAATTCTTTCTCATTTTGACTGGTTAATTTAGAGGTACTTCGGAGCACTATGACTTCACTAGCAATGGTTGATAAACATTTTTTCATTGAACACTGCTGAAAATTCTGCTTAATATGGGTTGAGAACTACTGAGAGGGTAATTTTTTAATTGTATATAAAGGGGTAAAAGAAAAAAAACTGTTTTCTAAAAACAGTTTTCAGTAGAAAAGCAACAAAACATCCTGAAGGTGTTTCTGTAACTTCTAAAGACAAATATGTTACAGCTAACAGAAGAAATACAGTCCACTAAATAGTTACATATCAGGTAGCTGATACTTATTTACTTAGCTTAAAACATCATACTTCTCTCCTTAAGTTGTTACCTAAATCAAATCAAGCTGCCAAGAATCAAAACCAGAAATGTACAGGACACTAGCATGCTAAGTCAGAAATTAATTTCCGTTAAAAATATAACAGATCCCAAAAGAAAATGCTTTATTTCACTTCTTAAAAGGAAAGCTATCTTTGAAATCGTCCTTTTGCCCAAAGGAAGTTGTTGAAATAGCAGAAGCTGAGTTGAGCAGAGAGGGAAGTGAGGAGAGCAAGACATGATAGAAACTAGAATATAGAACTTAAAAGGGTCTAGGTAGGAATTATAAGATTTACGGGGAAGGAAATATCACATGAAATGAACAGTGTTCTTTTGTTAACAACCATTTTTTCAAAAAATTGTATTTCATAGTGTTTTTCCATTATGGACATAATCCATGCGTTGATTTTTCAGTCTCAGGGAACGAAGCTTACTGCGGACATGATTCTCAGCACAATAAAGCATGTCAGCTGCATGAATAAACTGGTATCCTGTTCCTCTCATACACAGCTCTGCTTCAGTGTATCCTAGGACAATCTTTCCTCTGGAAGGTAAAAACAAAGAAGTGTAACGCTTCTAATGAACCAACGCACAGAATCAATGACAAGCACATTAATTATAGCTTAAATATTTCAGGTGCTAATGACACTTTGTTGCAATACCAATTTTATGTGGAAGCATGACAGTTCTAATAAAAAAAATAGTTAATGAATCAAAATTTTTATTAGTCCCCCAAATTGCCTTTAGTGACAAGGAACAAGTTCACAAAATTATTAGATTAAAAACCCCAAAAAGAGTATGTCTACAGTTCAGTTTGAGTCCTATTTCCAAACTTTTGAGCATATTCTCTTATAACAGGCATCTCCCATTTGTTTGAATTAAAGACTGCTTAGCCTTATTTCACAGCATTTTACCTACAGGAGAATTACCTAGATGTAGAATTAACTGGGAGCTTACGTTTAGTTGCCTAAAACTTCTGACCTAAATTAGTGTTTTTAGTAGCTTAAATTTAAAAATGGTGGTCTATCTCAGAACTACATCCCTTTTGCTACTGAGTGGGTTGGGATGCCTGTGCTTGCATTTAAGCTTTGTAAGATATGCTTCAGAGGAGCACTGGGAATAGAGCCATATTTGACACTGGCAGCTAAAATTAGAATATTGGAGGTCAGGGAGATGAAGAACTTAATAGAATTTGTATGAGCATTATGAGATACACGATAGAATAAAATAGTCAAAAAGCAACTGAAACAGGATTTGGAACAAAGAAATGGAGATCCAAAGATAAGTGGGGGTGGGAGGGCAGAAAAAGGAAAAAGTAGAAATGGGGAACAAGGGAACAACATATGCAGAAGTGTAAAATGTGACAAAAATTGAAGGTTTCAAGTGAAGTATAATAAAAAACTCCATTTTGTTAACATGTTAATTAACATGTTAACACATTTAACATGTTAATGTGTTAACATTTTGTTAACTTTAACTTATATCAGCTTATAGAACCCAAGAAAAACATTTTGGTTTATCAGTAGACAGCATATTGAGCAATTTGACTCTACATTACCCTATAAGTGGGCATGGAAATCCAGGAGAGATTCCACTGAAAATGGGTATGAAAGCTGAAGGCCCTATCAGTCAAAAATCAGAGGGAGGGGAGAAGGAAGGATGGACATGTGGGGCATTTCTTTCAATAAGCATCTTCATGGGCTTCTTGGCATATTGATGCACAGTTCCGTTATATTGATCTAGTACTGCAATAGTGTTTCCGGGTTTTATATAGGGAAAAGAATGGTTTGGAAATCAGTGAAAGTCATAGTATAAAAATAGACTTAATTTGCTTATTTTTAAGTGATTAAGTAACAGGTACATCGTATTTTACATTTATTTGAACTGAAGGAGAAAATACACATGTAGAACATGTAGAAAGTGTTCTATCTATTCTAAAATAAAATTTCAACCAGATTTAAACATTAAATTTTTCTTCTTCTGCAACTGATAAGTAATCTTTTTTGGTTGGTTAGTTTCGTTTTGGGAAGTTTTTTTGGTTGTTTTTTTTTTTTATTACTGAGAGTTAGAAAGCAACATGCCCTTTCTAGGCAGTACATGATGACAATCCCATTTCTCTTTACTTACTAGCAGAGCTGAAGACAAAATTCATAACAGTTCCTAAACAATCATCAGTATTAACTGACACACCAGCCAGCTTTATATTTCAAATAGATATTTGAAACTTATCTCATCAGCAAATTATTAGAGTATTATGCAGAATAAATTACACATACTTTGCATCACAGCCAGTAGGTGTGAAATCCAGCTTGTGTTTAGTTCTGAAGATGAAGTTTTTGGTTCGTATCTCAAGGATAGATGGTGGCTGAAGAGGTGTAGCTACTGCAAACAGAGCTAGCTGAGGAGACAAAGTAGCACCATCCTTCCCTTTCTTGTTTTGTCCATGGAGAAACTTTAGTCGTCCTTGAAAATTCATAGCCTTAGGATGAGGAAAAAAGTAATTGTTATACACTGGAGATATTTAAGAGTAACATAGTTCTGTTATGTAAAATTTATTTTTTTTAAACACCCATCAGATTCAAGCTTTGTAGCACAGAATACACAAAAGTTAGCAAACAAGAACACAATACTGTTGTTATGCCCTGAGTGTTTCACTTATACTAATAAACTCATATGACATCTACTAATAAACTCACTAGAAAAAAAAAAAACTAAAATAACTTGTAATAACAAATGCCAAATAAATCTAATATTCTAATGAACATGGCATTATACATACAATTAACATACAATTATTTCTCTTGCATTTCTGTCATTCATTAGTATAAAGCATTCAAATGTGAACTACTTCAAACCCATATATACACAACTCTATTTGTAAGAAGCCACCTAGAAGGTGATAAAACCATTTATTTTAAAATATACAGCACTGACAGAAAAAAAAACCCCATATTTTAAAGAGCACGCACAGATTTTCCCAGGTAAGGCAAAACTATGGTTCTGTTAGTTATGACTTACTGCATCTCAAGATATCCAACAGAGAACAATCTTTGTAATGCATTTTTAATCTGCAAATCAAGGTACTTCACAAAAGCAGATGTTTATTTGTATTTCACTGAGGAAACCGAGCCATGAGAAATGATAGAACTTGCACCTGGGTTGTAACAACATGTTGAAGGGGACACATTTAGTGTCACTAACTGAAACAATACTGCTTCAAGTAGCTCAGATATCTGTTGAGACTCAACAAGCAAAGCAGGCTGCTGTACATATTGTAAGGATAATGCAGACTTCCAACCTGCAAGCATATGTGGAAGTTTTTACATAACTCCATACTCACCAGGAACCCAGATGAATTATCCAGCAGGCATCGTAACCTGCAGATGAAATTCCTTTCCATAAAGGAAGAATTCTCTGGAGGAAGTTGGTCTGGGTTATAATAGGTTGCTGGCTGTGAAAAGCCATTATCTCCTACAGGAAAGGATTATTTATAAGTATTATTTTTAGAAGAACAACTAGTGAAGGCTATCTATAACAAATCATCTTCCGTCTCATAAACAAAGTGTTAGGTCATGACCCGAGCAAGAACAATATAAACTGGAAATGTCCTCAGAATCTATATACTGATTATAGGACTAGGTTAAGTACCAGTTGTCTGATAGGTTTATGGTTTACGAGCCATGGTATTTGAAAACTGCATGCAATTTATTTTGTTTTAAGTGGTGCTTTTTGGGGGTTTGCTTTAGTTTTTTGTTTGTTTGTTTGTTTGGGGTTTTTTTTTTTTGTTTTTTAAATTTATTCATTATGTTTGTTAACAGTCTAGATTCTGAATGAGCTCCTGAGAGCTGAATTCTCAGCAGAGAACACCCCCACATTTCTGCAAGGGCAGAATCTGCAAAAGGCAGAGTAACCAGTATCGTATCAAACTGTGAAACCTACTTTCCAGATAGGTGAAAGCTGTAGCAACAAATAAAAAGAATCATCTTTAGCAAACCACCATAATAAAACAATGCGAGTCCTTTCTCTAATGGATGCAATACTCCCTACTAAATAGTGAAAATACTTCTGGGCTGTGTTGATCAAACATATACCAAACAAATTACCCCTCCAGAAGAACCTGAAGCACTTGTTTTATGGTTTTGTTTGTTTAAATGTTTGTTAAAAAAAAGTCTCAAACCCAGGACTGACAACTAGGATAAGCGATGTGATATTCTTCTGCCATTTCAAGACAAGCATTTGCTGCTAATTGGCATTTAGAAAACAGACTTAAACATTTGGAATAAAGTAAAACCAGAAGGTAAATCAATAAACTTCTGATAGAATACATATGTTCTGCATGAGACGACAGAGATATGCAGCCCATCTACTCACAGCAAATGTAGCAAAGTGATCTTGTTTGTAATACATAAAAACCCACACACTGCTCATTCCCTAGGAATTCATACATGCAAAAAAAGAAAAAAATAGCCTGAAATGTTGGTTTAGACTGCTAAATACTCTGGAATTTTAAAAAATAGTCTATATACTCTGAGAGAACTGATTCGCACGTATACCCAGAACAGTAATACAGATCTTGGGAAAGGACCTTCCAGACTTGGAGATAAAGTCACGAGAAGCATGTCACTTCACACACTACATTATGTTCTCGAGAACATGATTTTGTCTCTTGGGCAAGTCAAAAAAACTTCCAGATAGGCTAGGGTGCCTATCTGTTAAGTCCTCCAACACAGGTACATCTTCTGGCTGAGGAGTGTGGCTCTAGTGTACAATAAGCAGTTGCAAGGCATCCTGCTGACGTGCTTGGCACTGGCAGGCACCCCTGTCAGCACTTCTGCCACAGGAGCAACTCAGTCTTGTTGTTTCGATAAATTCAGAGCAGGAATTTGACCATGGTATCTCACCTGCAAAGAGTCTTACAGAACGTCTGCAACACTTGGAGTGAAACTACTGGTTAACACCACAGGAAACACTTCACCTCATGAAGCCCACACGAGGTCTCATCAATGCCATGTGGAGAACATGCTGTGCATTAAATCCTTTTTTTTAATCTTTAAGCTCAAAGCCATATATGGTTATGTAGCAAGCAAACTCTAAAAGATAATCCAGACTTATGGCTCCAAAGCAGACATCTGGGACTGAAAAAATCAGTTTGCAGACTTCTCTGGGAACATGATAGAACTGGGAGGAACGACTGGGAAGCACAGTAACAGCTGAGGAAATCAGTGGTATACTAAAGTCCTAAGTGAGAAACAATCAGTTGAGTCTAACTGGAACAGAGCTACTTCCCAGATGAAGGTTAGAATCTGTGCTTAAGCCTGAGAACAATTATAATATGCCGATAAATATCTACACAATGCTAGCTGAATATATTAAAAAGGAAATGGATTCAATGAGCAAAAATGGAGGGGATTCTTATGATCATAGCATTATCCTTAGTTATAGATCTTTAAAGTGCAGTTTTAAAATCCTCAACATCTAAACATTTTATGCTACTTGAGGCTGAAAAATAATTAGCAGCTTTTAGTAAGCTAGGAGCACAAGGTACAAAACAATTGTTTTAACCCTGCTCAGCATGCCCAGTCATTCAGTCAAACCTGACGCCCGGTCAACCTGGCATTGTGCTTTTTAAACACCACCTCTGGTAAATTCATATACACTTGCTTAAGCACTATAGAACAACATTTCACTCTACAGATGACAGTAAGCCACCACATAAAAATCTTGTTTCTGAGTACCAGCAGCTGTCTGCTACACTGAATAGTAACCTTAACTGGTTGTATAGCACATTTTCAACTGGACTATGTCTTGATCTACAATTGGAGATTGTAGATGATACAACGTTGACCACTAAATGAAAAACTGAAACATACTCAGCTGTAAGCAAAACAAGTAACACTTGCTGGTTTTTATTTCTCCAAACTGGCATTTCCATAGTCTAGAATACTAAATATGAAATTGAGCTTCAAATCAAGTTGCTTTATGAATGGTAGATTTATTAAAAAATATGTACTTTTTCTGGATAAAAGAAAACCTATAATCAAGTAACATAGTAACAGAGAACTTTACCTACATATTTAAAGAATTGTGCAAAATGGAGTATTACAGTTGTCTCAACAGTTTTGTTGTCATTATGAGACAGGTATATGCTTCCCATATTACATCTAATTATCTGTGCATACACATCTTTGTTCTTACATATAAGCAAAGTGTTTCTCCTTAGTTGCTTCTAAATATAGTAGGTCACTTAAGCATCAATCAATAACATGACAATCTGACGCTCTAACAAGCATACTATTCTTTTATTCCTCTTCCCATTCCTTATTCCCAAGTGAAGTATTGGTCTATGTGGCAGCCTGCATATAACAGTGACAGGCACAGAAGATTAAAACTCTTTCATGGCCAGGAATGTGCTCTTACATAAACTAACATTGTAACTAACACATTCTTAGGCACGGAATTGATCTACCAGCCTGAAGAGCTTAAAGAAGCTGTCATACCCTCTTGTCTGCTCACCTTCCTAAGCAAATAAATTTGGTGTCATAATCTGTAAACCAGAAGTAGCAGATGTATAAGAAAGAACACTATTTCTGAGAAATTGCTTCCTCATTCAAACAATGATTAAATACAAGCTGTATAATTGAGGGTGAAGACAGAAAAATCCAACTTCCTTGTTTATTATGTCACCCAAAGTAACCGTACAGTGCCCTATTTGTGACACAAACATGCAGCATTACCTGATTTGCTATTTACCACAGGACCACTGATCAGACATGCAACAAATTCAGTCAGCAAACTAGTCTACCAATTTAAAGCATAATTAGTACTAGTATATGAATAGCAAAGCTTACTTTATGTGAAAAAAAAGTAACTCCCACCGTTGGCTAAACATATCCATAAAATTCAACTAAGTTTAAAAGATGTTATTGCTTCCTTTTGTTCTTATAAAAGGATCTAAACTTTTTTTACATCCACAAATGAAAAAAAGAAGAAACCTCAACTAATCAGACAGGTAAACACCTAAGTTGGCTACATTCTCACCTTGTACGCTTGGTCCAGAATCTGCAGACTGGGCAGGATTTAATGCCCAATGTAATTGTCGTTGAAACTCAGGTCTGTCTTCCGTATGAATCAATTCAAATACACTCTGGTGTATAATATCAGACTACGAGGAAAAAGGGAAGAAAGAATTAAGAAACTTATATAACAATATGGCATAGGTTGACAGTACTGCTATGGATATAGCAAAATCCATTTTGCTCAAGGATAAAAACATACATTTGCACCCATGTGGCAAAACTTTGTGTAACATTCGTTAGCAGAACAGAGAGGAATTCAGTCACACCCATACCTGCAGCCATGAGAAACAATAATAATAATAAAAAAACTACCTTAGGAAAAAAAAAAAATATGAAGTAGTTCTTTACCTGCTTTTATCTAAGCAAACCTGGAACTGTTATGCTTGGGCTTTGTCTAAATATTTTAATTCTACATACAGGTAAACAAAGTACTTGCCAGCTGGTACTTGGACTTGACCCATTTTCTAGGTGCTACAAGAATACAAAAAAAGCCAAAGACCCTGAACCAAACAATTTTCAGAACTAAGCCAAGTAGACTATTAACATTGGTTTTGTTTGCCTAAAAGCTTTGTCACTCCTTAAGAATGCATTAAAATATGTAGTTTTTAAGCCCTCATATCACTACCAATTATATGGTTAGGAATAAGATCTAAATGGAAAAGCTAAAACAGCCAGGATCTGTAGTTGAAAGAAATTAGGGGGAAAAAGACCCCTCAAAATATTCAAGAAAATCTTCAATCATCTGAGAGGAGTTAAATTGTCCATTTTCTGCATGGATCAAACACCCAAGCATTATATAAACACAATATTTAAAATAAAACATAGATCTAAAGAAATTAAGGTGAGCTGGTGAAAGCAGAAGCCTAGCTGAAATTCTTCTTTGATAAATTTAACAAATGAATCAGTATTTTCCAGAATAAATTGCCAGAAATTATATTTTTTGTAACTTTAAGACCAATTTTATGTCATGTACTTGATTTATTTGCATTACTATACAAATTTTATAACAAATTTGTTTTTCAACATTTTTTCTTCATTCTCTAATGCCAAAAGAATCTGCAACCCCAAGAAAAAAAAACCCCAAACATTAGCACAAACATTCCCCAGTCTCTTATCCCAGTTCTCTAGGGAATGCTACATGTGCCCACTAGGTCTTGGTCTTTACTATATTTGTACCTGTCTTGCAAGCCCAAGGAAGTTACCCATACATGATCTGCACCATAAATTGTAAGTAACAAATACTTCTTTTGAAATAAATAAGTAAATATGAGCAAGAGAACACTAGAACTCTAAAATCACTCTGTTGATACTTAAAACTTCAAGGCATATGAAGTTAATTTTGTATTAAAGTTTTCTATTAAAATAATTACCTTCTCATTGAATTATGTCACTCAACATCAAACTGGGTAACACCACAGTACAAATTTCAAACAGTTGTTCCAGTAAAGATTAATTAAGTGTGAAAATATCCTATCATGCCTAACTCAACTTTGGAAATTTTATTCCTGTTGTCCTAGCTCTGAGGTCCCATTCCAGCCGTGTAAGCTGATAGAAAAGTAATGTGGTTTCAAAGTAATCCAGCCCAAACTACCTGAGATTTTTATTACAAACTAGTAGATCCTAAACATGACCATTGATGCCCTCTGAAACTACAGAGAACCTCTGCAAAGGAATAGAGGAAAAAAATGAACTTACTTGTTGGAAACCCAAGTAGTCTTGGATAGTAGAAGAGACGTAAAAAACCAGGGCATCAGCTGTAACAACTAATACAAAACCATTTAACGCCTGAGGAGGAAACAAACCAATCTGTCAGCTTCAGAGACAAAATTCCAGATAATTACTGTGGCTGTAAGTCTACCTATACCCCAATCTCCCAATATAATGTGAAGCATGCAAAACCGTGTCACTATCTAACAGCATAAACCAAAAGATCCTTCATTGTGTCTATCTATAGTATATGTGGCACAAGGAAGAAAGCTGCATCTAATGAAAAGGAAAAAAAAAACCCATTCTTTTGGAAAATTCAGGGTAGAAGCCAAACCCTGTTGATGACTTAATTACTCTTGAGTGTAGTAGATGAGGGACAGCAGTACGAACAACTATAAGTTTATTTAGTAGCAACCATAGCTCACAAAGTTTGTATGGCTCAAGCCTTTGGTACACCCAGCTGCCTGCAGCATGAACTTAACTTATGTCAAAAAGCCATTCCCAAAACATGTTCTATGCATTGTGCAGACGGGCCTAAGTGGACAGGAAATCAAGCGATCAAGATCCCCTATATAGTACAAGAAAACATTTTATAGCTTACTTAAAATAGAAAACCTCTGCACAAGCAAGCTGTTGCAAGTAAACAAAGTTTTTGAAGAGATTTCCCTCTCCATGAAGCAGCAGACTAAATGGCTCCTTACTCAAAGTCATGCAAGGGCATTTATCTGAACTCCCAATCAATACGGCTCATGGCAATTGTTGTGATAGCAAACAGTACATTTGTGACTTGGCAGCTCATCTGAAAGGTGGTGATTTACTTCTATGGATTTCAGTCAAGATTTAACAAAAGGCTGTCTCCAGAGACTGGATTGAGTATATTGTGCCACTTAATTTCCTCAGCTCCATTCAAAGTAAAATTTGGCCAGGATACTCAAAACACATTTTTTTAAAACTCTTTATTATGCAAAATTATTGTAACATAGAAATTGTAAATTGAGTGAAGGATATCCCACATCTTACTGTAACAACATAATAATATGGTTTTATCATAAACCAGCATCATTCTTCCACAAACATTAAGTCCCACAGACCCACACTCTGGTAACCACCACAGTTGTTTTTCTATATTCTGCAGACATATGATTTGATTATTTCTTGTTCTTTTACTACTACAGTCTAATCAAGTCAAGGTAAATATCTGATTAAATGACTGGTTTTTAAGTGCTGTGAAGCACTCCTATTTAATATGTAGACATTTCTTATCTATTCTCTCAAACAGCTGTGAGCTCTATAGAAAAATCTTATATTCATTTTACCTGAACACAGTACAAACTTAAAAACAAATAAATCTGAAATTAAACAGCACAGTACAGCCAATAAGTCTTGAGTAGCTACACAGAATTCATAGTTTTGATGAAGTTCACAGTAATTCCAAAGAAGCAGAATGCCAAAGGTGCTTGCATCCTATGCTGACCTATTCTGCAGGGCATTTCACCTCAAGTGGTTGATACAAAGTCTGCAAGCCCCACAGAATCTAATACTGGCCCAAATGTCAAAATTAGTTATTCTACTCTGTTTCATAAAATACAGTTCCTGAATGTGGCGCTCAATCACATTTTACAGCATCTGACGTGTGGCTTCACCTTGAAACAGGTGGATTTTGCATAACATAGTGCAGAAATCAGGTGCCTTCTGTAAGCCAAGAATTCTGTACAATGCAGGTTGTTTGCCCCAAAATCTAATGCCACAAATTACTGGAAGTTCCTTAAAACACATAGGTATCCAGGATATACCACTGAATGGGAAATTGGTTCTGATGGAGGTTTTGGCAAAGTGTAATCCTAAATGAATTCTTTAAAGGCACAATGAAATTTCTCAGAGAGTTTATTATTCTGGAGCACTGGAGATAATATCGGTGCTTCTACAAAAACATTCTCAATATTCATAATAAGAGCAATTAGAAAACTGTTCATTATTGTTGAGAATTAAGATCTTTTAAAGATGTCTTAAACATTGTCATTTGACTTTTACTTTGCATCATAAACTTTCTTACACTGTAATAAACTGTGTATCTAAAATAAGAATTTGTAATAGTTTAAATAATTTTAAAGGACATACAGCTTAAATTTAAGGAAGCAACATCTATGTATTTGATCTCTGCTTCCACAATATATTGAATTGGTATAACAGTTTCTACGTAGGAAATTAAAGATACAATTGTTTGTTAGGAACAAGAAAAAAACATCTGATGAACAAATAAAAACAAATATGAACAATATTATATATATATATTTTCATTCCATCTTTGCAAAAATATACAATAAAAAGGAACTGTTCATCATCATTATAATTTATGGAAACCTGTGTGACATAAGACTTCTGAGTTCTGAGTCAGAACAGAATGATTTTACCAATTTTTACATCTTACTGATGCTCAGTATCTTCTAGAAAATTCCCACTTTCATCCCTCATTATTTCTTACATTCCCTAAGTATTTGCATAGTCATCTTTATATATAAAATATTTAGAAAACAAATTCAATGAAAAAAGTCAGTTAATTTACTTACTTCCCAAGGGGGCAGAATTCACAGTAACAAGTATATTACCCATTTAATTTTCATACTGGTGAGTATTATGCTATAGCAGTTCCCTCATATAACTTCCATAAGTCATAAAAACCCTAAATTTTACGTCAAATATATGCTTTCATGTTCTGTACCTTTGTAGATAATTTCTGTTCAGAAGAAAGCCATTCACCTGCAGAAGCTCCACAACAGTTTTCTCATACTTTCTTAAGGCTAGAAAATTACATACATGTACTAGGTTTTTTAGTTGGTTAGGAATATTTTCAACTAGAATTAGTTTATGGTAATCGCTTTGTGGAATTCTTAGAACCTGCCTCCATTTCTACCCTTTGAATAGTCAAATTAATGCTGTTCTAAGGCAACCTTTGGCTCTGACTGACCTAACGATTTGCCACTTCTGACAGATACATCAGTGTGAAATCTATGTACAAGACACATTATCAACATACTTCAAATGGAGCTGCAGGACATGGTAAAAATCTGTTTTGTGAAACTAAAGAGAATATTGGAATATTTACATCAGTCATTTCTTGCGTTTAATCTGGACCTAATATTATATCGCTATATTTAATATGCTTTGAAACTTTTAAGACATTAGAACAGACTATAATTAATCCCCCTGTTTTTCATTAATACTTTCCATTTCACACTGCTAAACATTATTGGAAGTTGTCCTGAACCTATACTATGATCTTAGAACTCTTTCAAACCGCTGAGAAAGCAACATATTCCAGCAAGTCTTTTAAATAGAAATTGCTTTTTTACATAGTGACCAAATTTACAGATGACTAACTTATGTGACCTTTATGAAGGCTGTTTCTTTACATTAATATCTATATTAACTATATGTGCAAAGAGATAGGAGAACACTCAAGAAATGACTCTCAGAGAGTTAAGAGGAATCTGTAGTCTATCACTTGCTCCTCAAGGTCACTGTCAGAGAAAAGTGCAAGAGCTGTCTGTATAATATTAACCTAAGGAACATGAGGAAAGAATTTTATAAGATTGGAAGTTTTCTTATCAGTGAATAACTGGTATGTTAAATACAATATAATTATTTTTTTAAAATTTAAATCTTTGTATTATGCATTCACTGCAAAATATACCTGCAATAGGAGTTCTCCTTCCAGGATCTGCATCCCTTCTCCACATTTTGCTGTTCTACAGTTTTCCTGAATGCCATTTATTTCTGGTCTTGTAGAGTTAGATTTTAATGCAACTAAAGAAAAAAAAAAAAAAAGTTGAATGATCTTTGAAAGGCTCACTAGAAATTTATGTGATGATACGCTATTCCATATAAGCAAATATATTTTAAAAATGCTTATAAAGTCAGGACTTTCTTATATAAAGTGACTTTTTCCTTACCTTTAGAGAGAACACCCAAATTTGTCATCCAACTCCATTTTAAACTATAATACTTTCACAACAGAATCAGTATTATTGAAACCAATCTGATACTCATTATTTTCTTTTTTTTTTTTTCTTGTCTTTCTCTCTCCTGTAAGGCTTATTTTCATGCAACAACCTGACAACTCTGACAACTCTGCTTTAAGCTGTGACAGCAGTTACACTTTTTTTTTTTATCCCGAATTCAGACATTAGACTATGGTACATCAGATGTAATCCTGCTCTAGACCTATAGCTCCCTTTATAGAAGGAAGGAAAGAAACAGGAACCATAAATGCATATTACACATTAAAGCAAACCAAGAAAGCTATTTCAAACAAAAAGTTTTTTTTTTTTTCCCCCCTGTCATAGTTAAATTTTAACCTTTTAACCAGCTGAGCAAACTTTCCAATTTCAGATAAAATACTATAATCATGAATCATCATTATTCAAGTCACAAATACATCCAAATGAAACAAAAAAATTACCTAATGAAGGATGAGGAATCAAAGGATGAAAGATGAAGAACAAACTGCTAAGTACCTGAAAGACTTACTACTGCCCATCTCTGCACTATGTCTTCTAACAAACAGGATGCCGTCGAGGAAAACTATGTCCTCAAAGATTGTCCATAACTCAGAATTTATGTACTTCCCACATATTCCTAAACAGAAGAAAAGACTCCAAACATGGAACTAGTCTGAGTGGGTCTGTGGTGTCTAAAAAGCTTAAAACTACTTGAATAATTGTACCTTAAGTCTTTATCATAAAGCTAATCATCAAGCCTAACCCCAAAATTTCAAAGCTGCAAGGCAAATTTATAAAAGCATCTGCACTTCTGTAAAATACCAAGAGCTTCTTGCAATGATGAGACAGACATTCACACTAAATTCCAAATGGTTTTTCAACCTGCTGAAAATCTTTAATTTTTCAGCTGCTCAGGACTTTAGTCAAGAATCCTGCAGAACTCCTGTTCACTCGCTTCTCAAGTAGGTTAAATAATATTTTACACAAAGAACGTTAACTGAAAGATAAACTATGCCTTTCAGGGTTTTTTAACTTATAACTGGAGCTAACAACTTTCAAGCCAGACAATTTTAATTAAAATAGCCCTCAAAGGCACCGCAGAGGAAAAACATGTTCTAAAATGACATTAACTGATTAATCAGTCAGGAATTTATCAGAGGGTTTGCTTTGAAATTAAAACCTTAATTCTCTTCCTACTAGATAGTCAAAATATCATGTAATAGGCCATCCAGCTGTAATCATAAATTCATTTTAAATTCAAGTGAGTGGAAGATGTAGCAATATTTTTTCCTAAGTATTATTTTAAAAGGATATCTAGAATATTCATTAAAACCCCCTGAAATCCACTGGCAGCAGAAGAAAGTTTATTATCCTTTTAATTTATATAGTATGGTCATTGAGAAAGCCCACATTCAGCTCTGGAAGTTGCAAATACAGATACCTAGTCACACTTGCCATTCTGAAAAATACCACATGCATTTATATATAGTTTTTTTTTTTTTTCTTTTTCTTTTATAATGTGCAAATAGCAAATGAGGAGGAAGAATTCAAGGTGGTTCACTAGTGAATGATATTCTGCTCTGCATCTATCAATTAACAGACCTCTAGAGCTCAAACACAGCCTGTGCACTGGTATGGCTATATCCATTCTAACTTTCAAACACGCAATAGGTACATATTAATTTATATATTCTGGTGAAAAAGGTTAAGTGTTCCATCTATGGAAAGGAAAATTTTTATTATCCCTCTTCTCAACTAATAGAATTGCATCAAAACTGAAGTGCAGATGTTGTTTAGGCAGGTGTGGTCTTCCACTGATTTAATAAAAACTAAATTCCTTTTATTAATTCAAAACTAAATTTTGTTTAGCTGGTACTAGAAAAAGCCAATTTCACAAAAATCAAAAGACAAATCAGCAAGAAGCACATAATTGCAACAACAAAATTCATTTCTTCCTGGTTAAAGTGATAAAAATAAACAACATAGAAACAGGAAAGATGACTAAATATTCCTATTTAATACTTCTGAGTATAATAATTGAGAAATTCACATTTCATGATGAATGTCCTTTTAGTCTAACAGCTAAACAGAAGGGAATGAACATGGGTATTTTGGACAAAGAATTGATATGTGTTAGTCAAGGTTTTTAAAAAAGCTTGTTCTATTTCCTGCTGGGGAGATAAGACTATGGAATGGATGAGACAGAACTTTCAATACTAAATATTTAAAAGGAAGTAGTATTAAAAAAAAATATATTCAAACCAAGTATAAACTGTAATAAAGGAAATTATAAATGTAACCTGTGTGGTTTACAATGCTAACATAATTAAAGTATGGTAATTACCAGTGCTGTACTGGTAATTAAACTTCTTTATCAATACTCTTCAAGCAAGTTAAAAAAAAAAAAATTGTTAGTAAGATTTTAGGTTGACAAATACTGTTAGAGTAACAGAGACAACACAGGTGCTTGACACTTAGCAACCTCGCCAACCCAGAAGCAAACTTGCAATGTGTGCCTCAATACAGTCAAACTGAAGGATACAAGATCCAACAAGTGGCCTTACAATACAAGAGCCACCTTGTAAAGCAATAATTTTGAAAAGGCTTAGCCACAGTCCACAACGCTGTGGCCTTAGAAATACGGCTAGAGATATAGAACAGATGATGATAAGGAGAACTAAAATTCAAAAGTGTAACTCATTTAAAGCTAATATTACAGTCAGCATCACCTAGTTTAAAATCAGCCAAGTACTCTGCTGATTCTCATAGTCTGATACTCATGTAGTCAAACACAAACCCAAGAGTTTATTGCTTTATAATCTTTGAATCTCTGAAGTACAACACATTTCAGCCTATCCTCTCTCAATTTTCAGCCACAGGAAATTAAAATGTGACTATTCCCACAGAATAGAGGAAGTTTGTATATGTGCTCTAAAATACATGAAAAACACAATAAAATTATTTCTCAAATTAATTCTCAGATTTTCACATTAATAACTTCAAAGCAACAAAAATAAAGTTGTTCACACTTGCTAAAAAAAAAAAAAATCTGCTACGCAGTTTTAGCAAGAGGGCTGTAAGCACCTGCTTCCCAAGTAGGTAATGATTGCCACTTAATCCTATGTCCAGCAACAAACATCATTTCCATTGCCCAGACTATTCTGATTTAAGTAAAAGCTAAATCCCAGAGACAACAAAACCAGATAGCGACATTTAGTAGTTTTTTCTAGACACAGAACAAAATTATAGTACCTGGTAATTTGTTAAAAAAATTTGTTTTTACCACTGCAAAATGCGTTCGCACCCAAACCAGTAAATGTAAAAGTTTTATTATATCTACAAAGAGAAATTAAATAGCAATGGTAACATCAGTGTTTACCAGCCTCTTATCTCTGGTTTTAACTGTTACATTCATGTGACGAGAGACCTGTACCTGTACTGTAGTGTACTTTAATACACTAGCAGTACATCATGGGAAAAAAAAGCCTGATACACACCTACTTCTTCAGGTCTGGAACAAGCAATTCAATCAATTGAGTTCTAATTACTGCCAAAAGCCATCTTTCATTTTAAAACCATGCAAGTTTTCACTGAAAAATTATTTTCAATACTTAAGGACAATAGGTTTTCAGCAGTGTTCCTTCTTTCCAGGGAATAATATTCAGTATGAGAAACAGCTTTGGGATATATCCTGAACCGCATGAGTTATAAGCAGCAGGCTGAATCAAACTAATAATATGTTAGATTAATTTCATCAACTATTTGTTGAGATATTCAGAAGTTAACCTGAGCAAAATGTTTAAAAAAAAAAAAAAAATTCTATCCATCATCTTATTTAATCTCCATGCTGTCCCCCAAGAGAGGCCAAGATGAAAAATCACGTTTGAACATTTCAGCTCTAGGATTTTTACTTGATAGATAAGCTGACATTAGATGCAACTCACAGTAACTGATGTTCTCTTCCTTCCTGGCTGTCACTCCTGTTCTCAGTGAGAACCTCTGCCATCATCTCCTCACTTGACAGCCAGCTGCTTTGAAGTCCCATCTCTACTATCTTATCCAGTTCAGTTTGCAAAATCAATGACCATGAAGTCATCTGCAGCCACCAGAGCACCTGCTGCAGAATCCTGTAAATGGGGATTCTTTGTTCTCTTTATCAGAAGCTACAATAGCAGAGAACTGCAAAACTGTCACAGAGCAAGTGTGGATACTCTCTCCTGTCGTCCTTAAGAGGGCACTACCTGTACCGAATGTTGCAAAGTTAATGAAGTAACTGGAGATGCAGAGAACTCAGCAGAAGTTATGTGCCAGCAACTATCTAGCTAACTTTCTAATGGGCTTTCATATAGAAGGCTGATTTAACATAGAAACACTCAGTCTACTTTACTATTATTTTTAAGAAAATAATATTGGCAGCTAAACTTCTTAATACAGAATGGCATTCAAAAACTGTTCCAGTTTCCCTTTTCATGAAAAAAAAGTGATACACTTACAATACTTCTGCTGAAATTCCTTTTGAATATTTGTACAAGTGAAACCTAATCAAAATGCCTTTAACCTACACGTGACTCCTATCTTATGGACTATTTGGTTGTCTGTCCACAGACAGAACAACAGATCAGCATCCCTAGCAGTGTGTATCAGGACACTGGCAATACTCCACTCAGCCAAAAAAGAGTTCTATTATATTGTTTTCCTCAAGTCTACAACTCACTCCATTTGGAAAAAAAAAACAAACCAAACTGTATTTTTTTTTGCAAAGCATCAGAAAGAACAAAATAAACAACAACAAAATTAAGTGGTTGT